GTATCTTAGAACATATTTTGTTTGTGATTTTTTATGTAGACTTTGAAAGCTCAGTCCAGGTGTAAGAAAGAAGAATAAGAAATAACTAAGTCAGAAATAAAATTGCAGAATCTAAACTGTTCACGTTTTATCATACCATTTGGGGTCACCTATCTTTTCTGAGGAACTGTCCGGAGTAAACAACACATCCTTGTCTTTCCCTTTCTACCTGCACCTTTTTTCCTTTCTTCCTTCCTTCTTTCTATTTCTTTTGCTGCTGCCTAACTTTATAGTTTAGCTTTCAAGGCAACTCCATAATAATTTCTTTCTTGTATTCTGGAAAATAAAATTAATTTAGACAGAAAGACATATAAGTCTTTCTCTCTGTATTGAAATGATAAACATGAAAAGACAAAAGTGAATATTCTGTAGCATGGAGTAAATACAGAATTAGAGGCGGAAGCAATACAGACTATAAAAAAACCTCAAATATTTTCTTTGCTAATGTTCATTAAAATAATATTTGTTTTCTTATGATTTTTTTCTTTCTTTATGTGTGACCATTGATTATAAAGATAAGAAAATGTTTGGGAGGAAACTAAATGATAGAGTGTTAGAAATGCAAAATGATTCAAAATATTAATGTAATGCTAAGGATGACTGGGTAACAAATGGTACATTTGCCAGTATGCTTGACCTGACACAATTAATATTCCAGGTCATGCTTGGGTTTCCATGATGGAAGGTCTGAGGCAGAGAATTCTAGGGGAAAATATATCTATTGTATAACTCATTTCTCTCTCTTTTTTTTTTTATTTTTTTTTTTTTATTTTCCCTGACGAGTCAGAAGCATAGTCTTAAAAAAAAAATATATCTGTGCTTTCACACCTCATTTGCCATATTCACCACTGGGCCACCATTCACCAGAAGGGCCTGATGCAAGGAGGTCAGTAAGAAGCTATTAGCAGAGTCCCCTCCTGAGATTTCTTTGGTCTTATTGAGGTGGAAGTTAGCATGACAGTATTGCAAATAACTCACTTGTAAGTTTTTTAACAGTTAGCACAGATTTCCCCATAGTGTTTGTCACTTTAGAAAATGATTCCTGGAAATGAAATCCCAAAAGCTGGCTTTGACAGAGTCCTGAGTGTTGAAGAGCATGGTACAGAAAAATGTCATTCTCCCTGAGACAAGAGGTACTTTTTGTAATCTATGATAATATTTTGAAAGGTTACATATTTTCTTATGAACTAAAGGTGGGAAAAATATTGAAATCATAGTTGGAGATAATATCTCAAGACAGATACTTTTCTACCATTGAAAAAGCAGTATTAAGTGCAATGGTTTTGTAGTTGAGAGAATATTGTATTAAAGTAGGGAAAAAATTAAGTAATGCTTTTCATACATTGCACTTGTCTCAAGAAGATATGCAAATGTATTAAGTACCAAAGGCTTTGATCCTCCAGATTCTTAGATTTCTGCAGACTGCCAGCTCCCTGCAGAGGATGGAGTGAATAGGACATTCATCACCACATTGCACATGTGCAAGAAATTCCAAAATTAAGATTAAGATTTGCAGAGATATTTTAGTGGAAGCAATTTTTCCAGAGGTTAACATGAACTGGAAAGTAGAATCCAACTCCTCCTCTTGTCTCTCCTACCAAACTTTGCGAATTTTATATTTAGGCCTACCCTTACCACAAACCTTGGGGAATTTAGAGTAAATTAGTATTAATTTTATCTGCCTAGATACTAATGCTACTGATTACTCTGCTGTCTTGTTGAATACTTAAACATATAAAATTGAAATGTAAAATAATTAACAACGATTGCCTGAAAAATTATTGTTTAAAGATGTGCTTCATAATCAATTTTGACCCATATCTTACAGTTGCAATTGTAGAAGAAGCAAGAAAGTTTCCAGCTGACCTCTCGAAACTCCAAATTCATTTTCATAGTTGATATACTATCTGTATGTATTTAATCTGAGAGTAGGTAAAAAAAGAGCAACAAAAGATGACTCTTTGTTAAGACACCTTTTCAGCAATAAGTCAAAAGACACTGAATCAATGGATTTCGACATCTATTATAGCTAATTTTGGTTTCATTAAAAGTGCTAAAAGCCAATCCTATTAGTGCATCTTGAGATATTCAGTAGCATTTCACAGTGTTTGAACCTTTTATGAACTATAACTTTTTATTACTGCCAAACATTTAATCAGAGGAACACAAAGTAGAATATACACAGTACCTCAATATAGATTCCAAAATGCAGTTTCAGAAAGCCACTATACTCATGAAGACATACTAGCTCTCAATGTGACTAAAAGAAGCAACACCATTTACTGGGGCCCAGACAGTGCATCAATTTAAAGTTATTGCATGTAATTCTTCAGAGGAAAAACATTTAAATTATTTAAGATGTTGTATTTTTCCACTTTGGAGAAACAAAACCAAAAATTAAACCTGAGCTATGTAGATTGAAATAATCTAGTATTTTTTTGGTTAAAAAAAATGAAAAGATTTCCTCCCCAATTTGCTCATCAGCTTAAAAGGCCTGTAAATTTTGGACAGAGTCAACCCTGGTCAGGATTTGCTACTGATCAACAAATCCACTCCTGCCAACTCCAGAGAGTCGTTACCATGCCATAGTGGTTTGTTACGGATCACTCTGATTCTCAGTTATGCACGAGATGTTTTTCTTCTGGATAACGTTTACATTTTCAGTGACATTATCAGAATGTAGGCAGATCCAATGGCCATAGTGGGACTAATGAGTGAAGGGATATAATGACCATGGCTAAAGATGGTTTGTGTAACTTCAGCATGGAATCTAGTTTGTATGAATCTAATACATACTCTATTTGTATGGAGCCTGCGCAAGGATGACACACAAATTCGTGAAGCGTTCCATATTTTTTTGGGGGGCCCCTGGTGGTCTAGTGGTTAGGGTGCAGCACTTTCACCGCTGCAACCCGGGTTCGATTCCCAGCCCCCCGGGCAGATGGAGCTCATCAGCCCTGTGAGGCAATCCATCTAAGAGAAGGTCACTCTAAACAAACCTACGTCCTGAGACCCTCACTGCCACTGTCCAAGCGTGCTTGGCCCCGGCAGATGAACCTCAGGATTAAAGGGTGGGCTCAGTTCAGCGCACGCTGTGTCTCACCTAAAAAATCCACTGCGCAGGCTCGAAGGGTTAATGACCTTTCCCAAATCTTCGCTCGCGAAGACTGGCCATACTGTATGGAGCTTGCATTGACTGTGGCATTTTATATTTGAGAGAACTTGTGTAACACGTATATAGTGTAAATGCATTCAATAATTGTAGGACAGTGCAATAAAGTCAAGACAACATATGGAACTTGTATTTATGTCGCACTTACAGATCACTAAATATTCACAAGCAAAACCCAGTACTGGGGTGATAAGAAAATTGCAATTTGATTGTGTCTGGAACACTGAAAAAATACTAACAGCATTAGGACAATCTGTAACTTTATGGGATGTTTATGTGAGTAAGAGCCAGACTTGCAGAACCAAAGATTAAGATGCAGCTGGACCTTACAGATCACACAGATGGACCTGCGATTTCACATTCACTCCAGTGATTCTGCTTGCCTGCTGTTTGAAGCATGGATCCCTGCCATTTTCATCTGGCATCCCGAAGAGCTGAATGAACAACCAGTGGTTGCTTGGCATACATACATCTATGTTTCTACCACTTATCTCTGTTCATGTCCTCTTTCCCATTATACATTTAGACCATTAGTATAATAGTTTATAGGGTTTGCACTAAGAGGGGAACATACAACAGAGGACCAAAATAAATCGTCATTAGAGCCAGATCACTCACAGAGTTGAAGAATATAGCCCATAAAACTTTGAATAGCCCAACAGTATTTTGGATAAGCTACCATCTCTGAATATTCTAGTGCATTAAACACTGTGTTTTATATATGCCGTATTTAACTGTTTTGACACAAGAAACTGGAACTTCCCAGTAGGATATATTAATGAAAAATGCATTAGAGCTAATTGGGAAGTGTTCAATCCTCTCAACCTCAAGAGATTAATACTTTATGAGGAGGCTAACGCCCTACATAGTTTTCTCATGGGTCCTCTGTAGCATTCCAAAGGAGCAATACAAGATTTTAAACATTTACTCTTTTCCTTAACTTTTCCTGCATCATGAAACTGATTTCCCTATTTTTATTCAATATTTCTTAGCAATTAGAAATAGGATAAAAGCAAAGGATAATATATTTTAACTGAGAAAATCTACTTTAAAAGTCTTAAGAATACTCTGAGTATACTGTTGTAGAAAATATAATTATCCTTAAAGCAACTCGTATCTTTAAATTAATTTTTTCCAGGTGTATTTTAAGCATATGTTATCTCTTTTATAGAAGATTTAGTGGCTTTGTGCAACATGGAATAGGAATTCTCATGTTTAACAGTTCATAATTAATTCAGTAAACTCACATATGTCTGTTTGGGAATTGTTTATATACAACTGATAAAATGCCTACATTTATAGGAATGATTTGGGAACAGTCTGTCACATAATTTTGACTTGCCAGATATTCACAGATTGTTAATTATGTATATTACTAGATCAGAATTTGAAATGTGTGCTTTGTATTAGTCATTGTTATATTAGATCACAGTAGTGATTCAATTAATGATGTATCCTGAAAAAAATGAAATATCAAATTCAATGAAGAATGAATCTTTCAATTTAATTCACAATTCAGAAATTCTTGTGCTAAATTTTGGGGGTTTACAAGTTTTATGCTATTAAAACTAAACACATTTGAATAGTTATAGGAATTTATTGTGGACATTTTGTTGGAGAAAAAAGTGAATATTGAGTTTTGGTATTCCATAAATTTTCTTCTATTTCTCCTTAACTAATGACTGTTTTGCTTTTAAAAACACTGCAGGTGCCACTGTGTGTTTTTGTTCCTATTGTGTATTAGAATCTAAATAAGTTGAAGTCAAAGGTAACCCCATCTTCTGCTCAGATTGCAGGCATCTACAATTCGCCATTCAGAAAATCCCCAGACCCAATGGAACTGCTGCTACGGAATTCAAAGCCACTGAGCCACAGAAGGAAGCAAGTGAAGAGTCCCTTTGCCTATGAGCTCTATGACTGGCCAACTTGTAAGAAGCCCCCAGCTTTCGTCACAGCACTGCCTCTGCCACCTATTGGCAGACAGAAACCTCAGGTAACATTTTTCAGTGTCTCTGAGGCAGCTTTTGTTCATATCTTTTATCATAGATTATCTCAAGTTAAATCGTCAGGTCCAAAAATCCCTTTTGTGGATTTGTTGTTTTTTGGGATGTTTTTTGTTATATATATATAGTGCTTCCATTTAGGATAAAAAGTCTTTGAACAGAGATTTGACTTAAAGAAATCTAGGTGATATTTAAAAACAGGAAAATGTGATTCCTTAGGTTTTGCTTTTGTCCTTTGGGGAAAAAAGTGTAATTTCTGATATTTCAAAGGTACAACATCATATAATTGAGTATCAATTTTATGATTCATTAGAGTTAGAAATCATAATTTCCAATTTTAAATCATTAAAAAATAGGAGAAATAAAAGATAATAGGACAAATTAACCAGTTGTAATAAATTTTTCCTCAGTTTGCAGTTGTTTCTCATAAGAAGACTAAAAGAGGTGCTCTCAGTTCAAAATAGTTCCTGCTCTTTTTGTCCACTGTGTGTGTCAGCTTTAATTACAAAAATTTCTACATTTTGTTCTCCATCACAGCCAAGTTGCCCAGCTTGCATTCTTAACTGTCATGGTCTCAATTTTAATTTCTGTTGATGTCAGCATGTGTTGCAGATAGCTTTTTTTCCCTGTTCTATAAAGTAATGGACATCTCTGAGATAATGCATCAAAGTGAACGTCTCACAAGTTGGCAAAACAGCTTTTGTCACCTTATAATCAAAACCTGCTGGGAATGTGCCCAATATACACAACAGAAAAACTTTTGAAACCTTTATGCTCCTCAGGCAAGTAGCAACAAGACAAGAGGACATAGCCTCAAACAGCACCAGGGGAGATTCAGGTGGGACATCAGGAAGAATTTTTTCACTGAACGGGTGGTCAGGCATTGGAGTGGGCTGCCCAAGGAGGTGATGGAGTCACCATCCCTGGAAGTGCTCAAGAAATGAGTGGATGTGGCACTTAGTGTTATGGTTAAGTTGCTAAGGTGGTGTTCAGTCAAAGGTTGGACTCAATGATCTTGGAGGTCTTTTCCAACTTTTATGACTCTGTGATTCTAAGAAGTTGCAGGCCTGTGAGAATACCTCTGGAGAAGTAGAGGTGAGCTGCACAGAGATCCACACTGCTTATAACAGTAAGAAGCAACTTCAGAGCAGTTCTCCACCTTTGTCCTTCACTCCTTATGTTCTCCCTACCTTGAGTGCTTGAGCTTCTTCATAGAATGAACTTGTTGACTCATTTCAGAATCGAGACAAAGTGTGAGCCACTAAGCAGTTCGGGTGATCAGGGAGTTTGGAGCTGAGATAAATATGACATTATAGCTTTACCTTCTGGGACCAAAGGGGCTGTGACAGTCCTTGAGCATTGTCTCTCAGGACAGAGGGAAAGATTTTGCTTAGTGGGCATGGTACAGGAATCGTGCTTTTAGATAATTAAGTAACTCAAGAGTTTTCCATTGTTAAGGTGCTCTTGCAAAACAGCTTTACTGTGTACAAAGTATCTTACAAGCTTCTGTTCGGATTTGGAATATTTTACAGACCTTTCTAAGTTCAGACACACGCACAGCAGTCTTGCACAGATAGCCTTTTAGAACAAACCAGAAGAGTTCTGTTTATTTTCTGCACCTCAAAGAGGGAATTTACTATATAATACTTTAATCCTTTCAGCACCCTGGGATGTACACTGTGGGGTAAATTTTCAAAGCACAGCGCGTGGATTTAGCTGCGCGACTCTTATTGATGTTAATGGGAGTCACACGGCTAAATCCCTGCACAACACTTTGACAATTTAGGGTTGTATGTCTAAGAAAAGGACACTGGTTTGAGCTGATGAAACAGCTGGAAACGAAAACCCATCAGAACACACCATCCTGAAAGTTGTCTGGTGTGACAATAAGAAATTTAATTACTAGATATACTTGTGTCCTAGTTCTCTGTGGTAACACTTTCTGGCACCAAGCTTCTTTTTCTAATATCGATCTGGCTCACTCTGAGTCACTAGTTACTTTCTTTGAGGTATCTAAAATTTTTATTGCTTGTATGTTTGGATATTTTTTTATGAGGATGTCAATTGTATATGTTTAAAAGAAAAAAAAACAAGCTATCTTCCAGTTTTCTCTTAGGGAAATGGATATGTAGCATTTTATAGGTAAGCTCTGTGTGTATAAGATAGTGCATTTAAAAGAAAAGTTTTAATGATGCTTATACATTGGTTAGATCTATCATTTTTATTACTGAGTTCACTAGAATTACAGTTTCATGGAAACACTGATAATGCTAAAATTAGTCATGTATTCATTAAAAAGCATTAATAACGAAAAGCACATTACCATTTTTAGGAGATTTTTTTGCATGCTATTAGGTGTTCTGGAATGGAGAACAATGAAGAATGCATAATTTCGTGATGATCATATTTTTTATCATGAGTTCCTGATTTTATGGTAAAGTAGTAAGAATGCTGATCTGCTAACCTTTATTTGGCAGACCAATTGCTATTAAGAAGATTTATGCTACTCACTACAAATTCCAAATAGAGCTGTGTGAGTTGCTTTCAGGGTGCAGACTGTTGGTTGCCTCCTTCCCTTCCTTTCCTAGCCTGACCTCCTCAGGAAAATTTCCATTTTGAAGTGGGATGCCTGAAATGCTTGCAAGCCTTGTCAATTTGAAAACATTTTTAAGCACCATTCTACTGCAGTTTCCACAAATCTTGAAATTAATCTTGTAAAATGAAAATAGATAAATGGATTTTTTAGAGGTCTTGTCATTTAAGATACATTACTTGGGTGCCTATTGCTAGGTAAGTTTCTTCAAAGAGATGAATCAGAGAAATGGATAATTGTGTAGGGAATGTTTAGAATTATGTCAGTATTCTAATATATATACCCTGCTTTCATTAGTGATGACACAGCTTTATTTGAGAGATCTTTGCTTAGTTGCACTCTTTCCTCCCTCCTTCCATTAGTAGTTTCATTTGAACTATGGGCTGATGGTTTTGTTTTGTTTTCATCTAACCCCTAATTAGGTCTTAGAAATTAAAGATGGAGAAAAACCCTTGCTTGGGTGTCTGATTTGGCCCTTACCCTGGTGGCATATGAGTCAATATTTTGCAGTGAAGAAAAGATGCAATATTCTGAAAGACTACATTTAAAAGCAAACATATTTATCTTAATATTGTTTGATAATAGTACTTTCCTTTCTTCTTTCCTCCATATATCCACTTACTGCAAACATCTTGCAATAAAGAGCATTCCTTTTTAATAATAAATTTTAAACTTATTCTATAACTTGCTCGTCAGATTATGTATTACTAGGTAATGCTATTACTAGGTTTAGTGACCTGTTCTCGCATTGATTATTCTCACAGGAGGTAACACTTTTCATTCTGTTTTTAAAGACTTGTTGTGTTCTTTTTAAATGAATGAATCTTTTCACCCAAACTTAGAAAGCAGAAGCAAGAGGATTTCTGCGAGAAGTGTAAATATTATGCTTATTTTCTTACTGGGACCTTTTAAAAGATCTCAAAATCTTGGTGCTGTGCCTTTAAAAAGTAAAGTTCCAATAAAAATCCATTAACTACTTTCAAATATAGCAATCCTCCTGTCCAGCTGTGAAAAGTACTAGATGATACTTATTTGCCATTTGTGTTATTTACGGTCCATGACTTTTATGGTAACTGGTTCCTATTATTGGTTTCTATTAATGTAAAACATAAGTGAACATAAATGAGGCGTGAATCATTTCTTTTTATTAGCCCCACAGTCTTCACTCAGTGCTTGCAGTAACTCCAGCTGTGACTTGTTAGTGATAACCTATTTAAAGAAGGATATCTTTAAGAATAAAGGCTGTGATTAGAATTCTTTGTCTGTTCATAGTTTCAGAAGGTTTCACTAGTTCGTTGCAAGATCAACAATGATGAAAATAAAAATTAATTAGTAATACTTCTAAATCCAGGGTTGCCACTAAACTGTCCTGAGTGTAACATGGCACTAATTATACTCCAAGTAAGTTCTTACAGGTTAATACTTAAAGCAAGATATATAGGATATGTCACTTCAGCAGCACAGGAGAGGACTTCCTGCTGCTATTTATCCATGTTGTTAAATGCCAGATTCTGATATAACCAGTTATTAAACAATATACTCTGGAAAAAGACATATATGTGTATTTTTTTAAGAATAATGAAATTAATGTGGAATTAGACTTTTCAAAAATGGACTGTAGACCTGTATTACTGAATTCATTAATTTGAATTGTATTAGAAGAATTATATCTTAAGTAATGTATTAAGTTCTCTTACAGATAGCTTTATAGTTAAATTGAAAAGAGCATGTTCTTTAAGGTCAAATATTATTTGTCCTGTGGAAAGAAAAAGATGTAAGCTATCTGCTTAAGCAGAATCTAGATACGGTTAATACTTGTGTATCAGATTTTATTTCACTGATATTTTTTTCTAAGGAAAACCTTAATTTTTCCTAATCAATTCTAACAATATATTGTTTTAAAATAGCAAGTGTTTGTTAGTAGCTCAATAAATTTGTGGTGCACGTTTCTCATTCTCTCGTTGGAGCTCCAGAGTATGTTATCAACCTCTGTGTTATCTGTAAGTCTCTATCAAAATGAACTGCTTTAATTATTTTGGAAAAAAAGTCTCACTACACTTCCCAGACATTCTGTGTCCTCTTTCATCAGTGATGTGCCATGAATAAAAGACGGAAAGAAAAGAACTGTAACCCCACAATAAAACACTTTACATTATCCTACACCTTTCAGGGGCCTTTCCGCGATACCGCTGAAGTATTGTGGCAGCGCTACAAGCCTTTGGAACCAACCTTGCGAGTGGCAGAATCAATCAATTCACCACTGGAGAAGGCCAGAGAGGGAATAAAAAGGGAGGAATGGAGAAATCCTATACATGACAATGAGTAAGTTCTTTGTTTTTTTCTTATATTGTTATGAGAATGTTTTCTTTATTCCATTGCTTTCAGAAACTTTTCATGCCTGACAAAATGAAATGTCAAACCTGACAGCTTACTAGCAAACATTCTATGTACATACTTCTAAATTCTGTGTCCTTAGATTATAAACTGCTCAGGGCAGAGACCCTATCTTGTAATTGTGTGACATGTGCCATCCATATCTATGAATCTGTAGAAGAACTTGTAATAATATGTGATGCAACAGATGCGTTTAATGGGAAATAAGAAAACAAATGCAAATTCTGTTTTGCCACATACACCTTGCCAAGGAAAAAATACTGTTTCAATCTTCGTATTCAGGGAGCTTACTGGTTATGGGAGGAAAAAATGGTGTTGCATGCCAATGAGACTTGTTTTCTCTCCCAGTAAAGTACCACAGCTCACTTGGAAGGGGAGGGAACATATGTCGCACGTGTTAGAACATGGTACAAAAACTGTAATCATCTTTGAAGCAGCTTGATTTCCTAAGCCACAGCATCTGTAGTAGTGTCAGACAGGCCAGTTCTTTTCCATAAAATCCCAAATGCAGGCATAATCCATCCCAAAAGATTAAAGCTTCTATCCCAAAAGACTTAAAGCTATTGCCAACATTTTTCCATTTTTTTTTTCTTTAATCATGGTGGAACTCTTTTGTCCAATCATAATAAATCACCTTCTCTGGCTTTGTAGTTAAAAAAATTACGTTTTGTCAACTTTTCCCTTGAATTCACTGCTCTTGGCAATCCCTTGACCCTTTAATACCAGAATTCAGGACAGAGAGGAACCACTTTTCCTCATGAGCAGTCTGTGATCCACTGATTCACTGGCACAAGATGCTTTGCTATCTTTGATCTGTTTTATGCTTTTTTGTCAGCTCCATATTGCTAAGTGTCAGCTTCAGGACTGGGACTTAAGAATGCCAGAAACAATTGTGTTTATATGGTTTACCTTCTACGTTTTTATTGGAGCATAATTTTCCCCAATTTAATATGAATAGTGTCTTTGAATTAATATTCTACTCAAAAATAGTTTTGAAAGAAAAGAAATCTCTTGATTTGGCTACTTTTTCACTTCCTGGCAATGTTTTTTGCTTGCAGCATTTTGAGTTTTTTTTTTAATATTTGATGTCAAAACTTAGCTATATTACTTTTTATTCCTTTCATACCAAAACCATAACTGAGTTCACTTACAATTAAAAGTGTACTTCCTTTTTGTATTCCTCTCTGTATTCTTTCATGTACTGGGGTGAGGAGGAAGCGGTTTAACTTTCACATCTCAGCTTAAATCTGTGCTTTTTTTTTTTCATTTTTATATCTAGCTTCTGCCAGTGAAATTTAAAAGAACTCCAAGCACTAGGTAGTAATTAATGTTCTCATTTGAAGTGGGTTTTTTTCACTGAATAAGTTTTGACTTATGCATTCCAAGGGAGGATGGATGATGTCCTCCATTTTTAGGCGTGACTATATTGCCCAGTCTTTATTTGATGAGGTTTACCCCAGACATCACTGTGTCAACAGTTTCAGAAGATCAGATCTTGTAATAAATACTTCACCGACCCTTCAATAAGTGAATTGTGAAGCTTTGGTCTTGTACAGTTTCAATTTGGAGCCTCCAACTTTGACAGATTTTACATGATATGCGGTCTTTATTTACCCTATGGGTAAGGAAGCATTTAATGCCATCCTTAATGCACAGAAGCAATGTCCTAACAATCAATGATTCTCAGCTTCATGCACACTAAATGCATAGTGTATTATACATTTTCAGGCTGCGATCATTCCGTTTGTGCTTCATATTCAATCAACCATGCAAGGGTCACATCTGTAACCTTGAAAAGGTGATGACAGAGTTGCAGGTCATCATCAGGACTACTGCTCACTAGTAATGCTGCAGCTGCTATGTGGGATCTTGGTCTCCAGGGAGGAGTCAGCAAAGGGTTACTCAGATTCTACAGTAGTTTTTTCTCAGCACTGTCTATTATGAATTGACAAATTTCTGTCTTTTTCTATGTAATTGTGTACTTTGGGACTTTATTTCTTCCTGGTAGTGCTTCCTATGCTGATTATTCTTCTATTTTAGAAAATAAGGAGCGAATGAGCAGCGAAAGTATGTGGCATTTGTTGAGAAAACTTGTGTTTGCATAAAATGACAAACTAAATCCTCTATATGTATATTTCCAGAGTGAGTATTATCAGAAAGACTGTTGCCGTGTATCTGCAATTTTCAACAACATTCGGAATTCCCACACGCCTCTGATTATCAGAGTTCTTTAAAGTGGTTGTTTATAGGACGATAGGATGAGTGTTGCAAGCTCTGAGAAACTTCTTGCTTCTGATGAAATGAAGAAAAATTCGAAAAAGCTGTGAGAGTTTGAGGTAGGCAGAAGCAGTACAAACGAAACCAAGAGAGAATGCTGTACTTACATAAAGCAACTGCTGGAATTTGCTATTCTGTAATGAAAGAGCAACTGGGTAATCTAGCCTAATAAGAATGATTCCTTTTTCTCGCGTAATTGAAGCTGCTGCTGCCTTATTGTGCTATTTTTCATACAAATGAAGTGATTTCCCCCTCCACTTGGATAGGAATGACAATTGTACTCCTTCGGGATGGCCACTTAATAAACTAGTGTCTAGTTTGAGACACCAACTGCTGGATCCAGCAGATTTAGATCACTAAGCATGAAAAGTTCTTTACTCAGTTGCGTGCAGCTGCATGCTGGCCTAATTTTCCAGAGAACAAAAATGTAAATTATTTTCATTAACTTTACTGAAATCTGTCTCATGTAATATGCCTCATGTTTCAAAGTATACTGTTAAACATCTTTATGAAGTCAACAAACATCAGAATGAGATGCAATGTGGCGATAGCAATAGTGTAAGGCTTAGGTTTCCTGATTTATTGTAGTCTTCTGGTGTGACATGAGGCACGTCATCTCAGCTTCTGGCTATGCCTGTGCTCAGCACTGTACTGGAGATACAGAACCTAGTCCTGATCACTGGTTCACTCGTGTGCAGCAGAGTGCAATGTTTGCACACCCTCCCTCTCACATGCTGGGTGAATATTGCAGCACCAAGCTCCTCATGGGCTTGCTCTCAGCAAGACCGTGCTTTCCTTTAGAAGCAGCTTAGGTGCTTCTGTGCTACTCAGTGCTGTGCATGAAAGGTATTTACAGGGAAATTTACAGTGACCTAAATAAGCTCTGTACTTGGAGAGCAACAGTGTTATAAGCTGCCTGGTATTAATGGTAAGAAAATTTAAAAAACAAGTGACTTTAAGATTTGGGAATTTAAAAAGTCTTTTAATTTCTAGAGTTATAAAATCTTTTACTGTATTTCTGACAGCTGCAGTGAAAATGGCTACTACATTTTATGTCATACAAATACAACGCATCTGAAAACTTTTTTCAAATTATACTTAGTTTTTCATATGCTTTGCAACTTCAGCAATTTGCATATTTTCCGGACTGTTATTGTATTATGATAAACAGGGATTATCATATATTTTCAGATAATGTTTTCTTAACAATTCAACTTCTATTTGTAACTCTTCCATTTATTTTAATTACTAGCACAGTGTGCAACATTTATTAATCAGCAGAGTCTTTTTAAGTTAAAATACTAAATTAGCTAACCCCATTAACACAGAATACTCCAAACAAGCAGTAATAGGAGAGGTAGTTACTGTGCAAATCGTATTATACATGCGGGTGCTCTAGGGCACAGTTAAGCATGATTACCCTCTTTTGATCCAGTATTCCTCTGCTTCTTCCAGCTAATTTCCACTGGAAATTTACAAAGTAGCGCCTTCATTTTTCCATCTTAATTTTTCTAATGAAGTTCTGGTACTTTATAACACTGGGGATGCAGATAATAAGTCTGTGTATAATTAAGAAGTTGCAGAATTTGCTGCAGAAGAGATCTCTTTTACTTTCTGAAAGAACTAGACTATGGTTTTATTTTCCACTGTACATTATCACAGACAGGGGTTAGATAAAAATAGCCAGAGGATTCTTAGATTTACTGATGTTATAAGTGATTGATAGTTTATTGAAAAGGTATGTATTTAGTATATTACCAGAAACAGTATTTGTAATAATGCACCCAAGTAAGTTTCTTATGGCAAAAAGAATGCACTAAAGATAATGTGACTAGATATGTTAAGTAAAATGTTCTGTCTTTATTTTTGTGTCTAACACTTTGATTTTAATATGCACTCATTATAAACTAAATAATGGCTGACTTGCTGCAATTGTTTTGCTATGGAAAACCATTATGCTTCTTTCTTTGTAGCCTGAATGTTGGATTTGATGAAAAAATTGCTTCAGGTATAATCCAAATTTGAAAGCTTAAAATTAATTTCATGTTTTATTAAAGAAAAAAAGGAAGAAGATAAAGTATTCCCAGATTCCCAGTAGAGAAACATGGTTTGTGTGGAGCTAATTGTTCGTGGAGTTCTTTAAAGGGAGATGAAGTTGTTTGATTTGAATTAAATCAAGACAACAAGGAATTAAATTGCTATTGTGTAGAAACACTTTAGATAAAAATTTAACAACACTGTCACACAGAGAGTTAATATTTTGGTGGTATTTTTACTACTAGATTATAAAAATGTACAGTACCAACAAACGTGAAAGTTTGAAAGACTACATAAGCAGTATTCAGGGTTTTATATTTCTTACTGTGCCCTGGTAGTGTAGTGTGTGTGGGAGTCTAGCGGTAGATCTGACAGTTCTTTCTCAGCAGCCTGAGTATGTTTTGAAGCATTTCTGGAAACAGGATTACATGCTTGTGCTGCTAGACTGCTGGGATCTTGCCTCTTGGGCAGGTTCAGAGAACACGCTGAAGGGCCACTCTGTTCTTTTGCTGCCCTTTAAATTCAAGAAAAAGTTACTGCCTCCGTACTGTGTCCCACTGGTAGTTACCACGTAGCGTTGGGACGCTGCTGCCCAGCAGTAAATGATGGACCTGACAAATCCTCCTCCCTGTTTGTGCTGCTGTGCTCTCCTCTCACGTTGCTGTAAACTCTGGAAACCAGTACCTGCTGCTGCTTCTGTCATCTCTGTCAATCCAGCTGGAAAGCCTTCAGCGTCAAACGGGCCTCTTCCATCTCCTGTCACAATAGTAAGAGAGACTGCAATAAAAGAGACAGAATAGAAGGAAGAAATGGTAGGTGAGGAATGTAGGAAGAGAAATCATGGAAGGGGGCATGTTAACATGTTGGGGGGGGGGGAAAGGATTAGAAAGATGAAATTAATAGTAGAAGGAAGGTGCAGGATAGGATTAATGAAGGGATAGATAAAGTAATTTTTGGTTTTGTTAACAACAAATATCAAGGCTGTCTTTGAAATCTAAATACACACCACTAGCAGCTGTCAGGTCCTCCATTGGCTACTAAGTGAGGGCTTCTAGATCTCTTTACGCTAATTAGGTTCAATATAGTGTGGTCCTGGCAACAGTGCAGCTGGCCTTCATTACCAGTGACACTGCCAGCCTTGGTCCTGGTCCTCCTCCCTCAGGTTGTGAATGTGTAATACTGCCATTTGTAGAACCTGAGATAGTTTCTCATTTTTGGTTCCAACTCTTTCCCTCTGTTTTGAATGTATGCTTTGGCACATATCTCATTCAGACTGTTGTGGTATTTAAAAATAAAATAATTTTTAATTTTTAAATTTATTTCTTCAGGGAAAGTTCACCTCCCACTGAATCATCAACTTTTGGGAAGGCTCAGCTTATACTGACTATGTTTTATGGCATGATAAAATATCTGTGTGGTATTTAATTCTTCTTTGATCCTGCTACTTCTGTCTCTGTCATGTGTAATGAAAATCTGTAAGAATTTCTGAATTTTCACCTAAATCACAAGGAAAAGCTGAAACCCAAATGAAGGAATAATGAGCGAACCTTTGTAGGAAAGAAAACTATTGAAATCTAAACTTGTGCAGTTGATAATGATATCATAACATTGTCTGGATTTAATTTTCTTCTCCTTCCATCACTCTCTTCTGTCACAATCAGACCACAAACTGTCATTAATTTTGGGAAAAGCTGTGTCAGGTTTATACACAGAGCTAGAGAACATAATACCATTATTGAAATGTTTTGCAGTGCTATTACTTTTTACTATTATTATTGGTTGTGGGGGTATAATGACTTTTGTATGACTCCCATTAATTTGGTTACCATGCTTAACACGAAAAATTGTTTAAATTTTTTTAATTAATTGTTCACATAGAGTAATGAAAAGTCTCACTTACTTTAAACAGAGATTGAATTTACAAGCATATGATCCTTTCTTGTAGTTAGAGCATTATTGCTATAAGGATCTTCCCACCTGACTGACAGCAGAATTATAAACAGAAGAAAAAGCTTCTACTTGATACCATTACACCCTATTATATTTTTATTTTTTTATTTAAATTTTAATATTTTTTATTGTTCAATGTTCTTCCTTTCATTCCTTTAATTTTTTTTTTTACTCAGCCACAGACATACATTCCAGGCTGTGTGGCACATATTCCAGTTAATGATCTTAGAGGAGATATGCAGCAGAATGCAGAAGAGTGCTTTTGTGCTAAAGTGAATGTAGAACATACTGTTACTTGTGTCTCAAAGTGTTAAAATTTGTGTATTTTTTTGTTCAGAATCATAGTAGAACATACATTACTTTGAGTATTTGTTTGCCAAAAAGACAAAGATTAACTGATCCACAGTAAAATCAAAACCTCTATGTAGAAAATTTTTTAGGGAAAACTATAATAATTTACTTCTACTTTCCTCAAATTTTTTTTACCATTTTGTGTGTAAATTTTACAGACATGGTTTTCATATTAAATTATGAATGCTATGGCTCAACTAAATTCTATGCATATATGGGCAAATCCCTAAACTGCAAGCCTTGTCTTCTCAGCTATCCAATCCCCTGAGAAAGCCAATTTTCTTTCATGTCTGAACAAAAGAAAAATGTACTATTAAAATGCAATTCAGAAGTGATAAAAACTGCAAGTGGAGCAGCCGGCTCACAGCACCTTCAATGTATTCTCTGGGACACTGGGGCCACATTAATTTTTGTGTGTGTGTGATGTCCATCCCATGTGCAAATTAGCATTACAAGTACCGTAATCTGTCTTATGTGAGGGTGTCATTTCCCATGGGTATACACATGCTACTGTAGCTTTGTATTATTTAAAAGTCTGCTAACTCAGTGTTTTCCTTTCACTAACTTTACATGATATTTGTTTGTGGCACTTGATAGAATAAATTGATACAGCTGATAAAATTCTAAATAGTTTCTTTTTATGAACTACAAAGAAAGAAATGTAATTTAAGAAAACACTCTAACAGTTGCTGATGAATGAATTAGTCACAATAAATAATTTTCTGAATCTGTATCAGCTGAGAGACAAAGAAAGTTATTTTAATCCACATTTTTATCAAGAACTTGGTTAACTCCCTAACTCTTATAGGGACTCTGGATTCTGAAAAACTTTGGGCTGGGGAAACTTTCAGCTGAAAAACTACACCTGTTGTCATGGCAGTTAAAGTGATATTTTAAACTTCTGAAACATATATTTCCAATTTCACTATATAATATTTTTTCCTGCACTTCTAGAATAAAAAATACATGTTGTTTTTTCAGAACACCAGCAATTATAAGCTCACAGTTTTACTTTATAGTAAAATTTACTTTTTCACTTGTCTTGTGAAAAACAAGTGTGACTCTCTTGCAAACTAAAATAGATGTCACTAAGACATCTTTGTAGAGTGTCTTGCAGATCTTGCAGATACTTTATATATAAGACATTTTTCACTTTCCTTCATGCAGTTTGCTCTGGAACCTACCCAGAAAACTTGTAGTTGTCCATGACACTTAGGGATATCCATCTGAAAACCTCTTCCAGCAGGTAGCTGAAGCTTCAGTGTTCACTGGTACTGTATAAGCAGGGAGTCCATCGTCAGTATGACCAAAGATGAAAGAATCCAACTCTGAACGATTGCTGATTATGACATAATTATAACTTAAGAGTAAAGTGCACAATTTGAGAATTCTTAGCTTGGTGGTCTGCCAATATCTGACGGACAATGTGAAAGGTTCTGTTCTGCTAAATGAGAGAATTCTGCTAAATTTTAAATTCTAATTTAGAATTGCTAGATTTTGGTAAATATAGTTTATTTATCTTTGGTTACCAGATGTCAAAAGATGCATACCTGGTTTAAGGTACAGGGAGGATTCTTTATGGTCCAAGTCTACCTTGGTTTATGCTTATAATGCTGGCATGCTTGAAATATTTATGTCCTGAGGGAACGATCAGGTTAAGGTTGTGTTGGGAGCCTACATGACTTGCCATGTGGATGCAAAGTTCTCCAAAAGTGATATCCATCCTTGTGCGTGGTTAGTGCTTGCCACTGACAGCTGGCACAGACTGCACTGCCTGCTAAGGTTTGAGGGATCAAGATGCAGATCCCAGCAGATTGAACCCTGATAGTTCCTCACATCACACCAATTGTTAGTGCAGATACAGACAAAGTAATAATCTAGTAATGCAAGTGAACCAAGTTAGATCTTTGTACAGAAAGTCATCATTTTATCCTATTGAAGCTCTATATCTCTTTGCTCCAAATTGAACTTGAAAGAAGCCGCAGGAGGAATTGCAGTAATCCTCTCACAATACCAAGGGGAAACATTAAGAAGGTAGTGAAAAATAGCAGGAACGTGTCTGCACGTCACCTCTTGCAGTGTTGTTATCCATTATTTACATCCATCCTGTGGCATCTAGAGAAGAGCATAACTGATTTTTAAAATATTCTTGAATTTCAGATTCCTGCCATTTTCTTCATATCATAAAAATGAGAATGAGAAGTATGAGCCATCACTTTGTAAGTCAGGCAAATATGTCCAAGAAGCTTATGGAACCAAACATTTCAGAGAAGTATATCCTAATAAGTGGATAGCAGACAAGGTAAGTCACTGCAAAAATCAAAGAATTATTTACTTTTTTAGATGGCTATTTTATTAGAACTAGGTGAATTTGAGTCTGATCCAGAGATCACAGAATCCAATGGGATTCTTTCTAGCATGTTATAAAATCACATAGAGCTGATGTGATGAGATGTCAGATTTCCTTGACTCTCTGGTAAGTTCAGTTTGAGGAACTTTAACACCTGTTCTACCTACAAGATCAGGATTTAAGTTCCTGATTAAGTACAGCTTCAGTTATGTACGTTTCACTAAGTTTTGTTCTATTTGTATTGCCTTTTATGATTTAAGAGAGATTGTATATTTACTGTTGGACATCAAGATAAAGCTTCAGAAAATGATGGAAAAAAACGGACTAAAACAACAAAGTATTTTACTGCTTACATTCTTTGAAAAAATCTTGAAACTAGTGAATAGCTGTTTTTCTCTTAAGATCATCTCATTAAGTTGCTTGCTTTGTCAGGAGCATCTCATATATTTCTGGTTTTGTAGTGCTGCAAGAGGTAATTTTTCTCAGAACATGTTCTAACGTGACTTTGTGTAGTGTTTTGCATTGTGCTTATTTGCATTAGGTATCATAATCACATTAAAATTTCCAAGTACAAGAAAGATAATGGACTTTGTGGCTCGGTGCTGCACTCTCTGCCAAGATAGTTAAGGGGACTGCAGCATCTTTTGTAGGAGGAGAGACTGAGACAGCTGGAACTCTTCAGTCTGGAAAGAGAAGGCTCAGAGGAGATCTTATTAAAATGTATAAACATCTGATAGGAGGGAAAGAAGAGGGAGACCAGCTTCTTTCAGACTAAGTAGTGTCCAGTGACAGGACAAGAGGCAATGGACAGAAGTGAAGTACATGAAATTCCAGCTGAACACAAGAAAACACTTCTTAAATTTTTTTTTTTATTTTTCTGTGGGTGTGACAAAGCACTGGTACAGGTTGCCCAAAGAGGTTGAAGAATCTCTATTCTTGGACACATCCACAGTCCTAGGCAACCTGCTTTAGCTCACTAGGGGGGCTGTAGGAGGATGATCTCAAGAGGTCTCTTCCAATGTCTACAGTTCTGGGATTTTGTAAGATATGATTACGTATTTCCCTGGAAGTAGCTTAGTCCCAGCAAATTCCAAGGAATCTTATTTTCAGAAGGAATATTTTTTTATAAAGAATTATTTCTCTAAATTTGAAGCTTTAAAAATGAGCTCAGAGTAAAATTTTGGTATTTTAACATGCATTAATTATACCTCATTGCACATAGAGGTCAATGTTCAAACAAAAGATCTGAATTTGTCTTTCAAAAGCAATGAGTGGAAGATATGACTGGCTGAAGTCCTACAGCATAAGTGTGATATATAAAAAGGACCTAAATGTCTTATTGCTGGTACTTCTCTTGTCCTGTAAAGACTTCCTTTTCTAGTCCTTAGCAGTTCTTGATCAGGCTCAGATGATGATATAAAAAAAAGTAAAGATATTTATACTGTGTATCATGTGACACATATATAAATTATGGGTTTCACTGAAAGAACTAGACTCACTTTACTTGTGATCTTGGATAGATATCAACCTAAATCTCTGGAGGTGAATAGCTGTATACATTAACCCAACATGACATACAGCCTTCCAACCCCAATTCTAAATCAATATGAAGCTTCCATTAGGAGCCGCTTACCCAAACAGAGAGATAAGAGGAGAAAAGAGCTATTTATGACCTACCTGCTGCTTTAATGGGTCATTATTATCAGGGAAAAAACCAAAAAGAAAACCAAAAATTCCACCTCCTCACTGCAATTTAATGGAAAAAGACCTATAGGCAGGTGTGAGGTTATACTTTCATAACTGTTAAATTTGATAGAACTCTGTTGCTTTTTTATTTCTAAACTATATGAAAACTTTGAATATATCAGTGGTATGAACAAAAGTATCCTGTTCTAATGAATCACAAGGCTAAAGGGCATGTAACAAAATATTAGAAAAAAGCAGATTTTTGCTTAACACTTTGCTTAACACAAAGGAGAGTTCCATTTGCTGAATGGAACCCTCCTTTGAGTTTCCCATGAGATGATATTTTGTGGATGCAATTTCTGTTACAGCCTGTGTAGCTGATAACCCTGCCACGATCTGTATTCAGCTTCTGAAAGTCTTGTGCTAGACCAGGTTCCCTTATTATTGCTGTTAAGACTGTGTAAGTTTTTCCAAAGAGTCCATTCAGTGGTAGTGGATCAGTGACCCCTCTGAGCTGCTGAGGTATTATTTGGTGTTAGCTGATATTAGGTGACTTTTTAAAAAATTATGTATAAAACGGCGCTGTGTATGTTCATGAGCACATCCTAGCTGTGTTTTCCTGAGGTTTTCATGTGTTTGAGTATGCATTTTAATTCAAGTCACAAAAAGATTAGTATGTAAATTATATAATTACTTTAGAAGCAAAATGAACAACAATGAAAAATATTGCCTTGTTATATTTCCTCTGGAAAATGAAAGGGTATTAGCATAGACTTTCTCTAAACATAATAATTACCATATCTATGTGAAGAAAAGTTAATAGTTCTTTTTTTCATCTAGGTATAATCTGAAATTTTTTTCTCATTCTGTTTACATTTCAAAGAAGTTTGAGTTAAGGGGAAAACTGTTCTATTCTAATTCTTCATTATAAATAAACAAGAAATGGAAATACCTCTAATGAAACTGAATCTAGTTAGTTTACTCAGTAAATCACTGTAAAAAATAAAATTACTTGCATATTTTAGGTTTTACATTGTATATCTAAATACATGGAAATGCCTTTGATAGAATTTATGTGAGATGTTTCAATATAAAAAATTTACCAATCATTATGAATTTAAACTACAATGATAGGTTCCAATGTAGCTGGGCAGTCAAGGATTGAAATACACTAACTATAATCTTTCGGTTGTCAAAACACTCACATATGTTCATATTTACTGAAGCAGAAATGGTAGCTTACAGTCTTTAATCAGTATTGGAATTAGTTTGCATATGCATTTTAGAAAACTGACTTTAATGACAGCATTTAATGTTTTCTTATTTATAAAGTTCAGGAAGTGATATTTTAAGGTGTTCCATTCTGATAGATTCTTCCCTCTGATGCCTTATTATAGGTGAATTACAGTACAACTGAATCACTGTTTCATTATTTGCACAGGCATTTTGGCCCTAAACAGGATTTTATTATCTACAAAGCATAAAAATACCCAGGACTGCAAAGAATTAATTTAGAGAACCTAAGCATATTGCACAGAACATAAAGTTGACCTTTACCGTCTACAGCTCTTGGAATGGAGTGGGATGTGGAACACATCATAGATTTAATGTGGCACAACGCTGTCTGCAGAAACTTGGGTGGGACTGTGACTGCCTGCCCATTGCACCCGATGATTGAATCTGCTGTCACCAGCATCCTGATAATAATGAACATTCAGCTTAACGACCGTGATTATGATTATCATAATTGATGTGCAAGTGCAGTGTGTGGGGATCATTACAGCTGAACTGTACAGCAGAGAAACATACCTTAGTTATGGATAATTTTACCTTTATGCATTGATTGGGGTAAAATATGCCTTTCAAATTCAACAGGCCAACTTGATAAAATGTTAAGATTTCTACATGTATGGATTGATGTTTACGAGCTTCCTGCGAAACAGCCTCCTGGCTGTTTGTTTTGAATTGTTTCATTCCATTAATAACAGGAAATAGTTAAATAATTAGACATCGTTGAGTGGAAATCACTTACAGAGTACTGCCAGTGTTAATCAAATATCAACTTCAATATTTCTGATTGTCATGGTCTTGCCTAGGTTAGGAAAAATAGCCCTTGTAATTCACCACCAACACAATTCTGCTTTTGGTGGAGCAGTCGAAATAGGGCTGTGGTCAACAGTACTGGCATTTTCACACTGCACTGTGTAGAGCAGGCAATAGTTGTTCCATATATAAATTATATCACTTCCATCTTTGTCACCAGAGGCAGAGAATTACAGGCTCAAATTCAGCCAGTGTAGATAAAGGTGCAATCAAGAGCTTCAGTCAGTTTTGTTGAACAGTGATTACCTTCAACCGCGATTACATGAAGTTGCAGAAGTATTTAATTAAACCATGACATATATAACAGATAAACACAAGTGTATTTTAAGCCAGAGTTTATATAAAGAATATTACAACATAAGTATAATGAAAAGCATAGAGTTTCATTGGTTTACGCTAGGTGTAAATTTGGCTCTTTGTCCAAGAACTGACAGATTTTTAGTCTGGGATAATAGAGAAAACAGATGATAGAAAAAAATCCTTGTAGAGGGGGAAAGTGATTCTTTCTGTTTGAAAATTAGTTTAATCTCTTTCAGGACCACAACATATAACAGTCATGTGTTTAGTGGGTGATGTCATTGTGCGAGGGAATTTTTGATACACTATTCATGCTTTTCCATCCCTGACTGTATTGAAATTTATTTAAATTTCGCCGCAACTCAATTTTTTCTAACCCTCCAGTGACTGGACTTGAGAATAAAAATAATGTATGTGTGAAGTTTTTAATTCTTTCTTGCTCAGACTGTGCTTGTTTTCATTTTCATTACAAAAAAAAAGATTATCCAAGAACATTTTCTAAGACAGTGTGATATTGGCTAATGAATGTGCATCTTTACTATCAGCTTTATTACCTTTTAAAACTTTAAAGGCCATATTTACTAATATGCTTTGTGACAGAACTAAGTTACTGACGTACAATAGAAGAGCTAGCACGTATTGTGAATGTCAGCGACTTAGTTCCACAATCCAACCTCACTGTGTTTTCCTAGGCAATGCAGAGCTTACATAATGTGGCAGCCGGAAGGGAATTATTAGATGAGCTGTACGAGTTTGCTTGTTACAGTACCGGTTTCCTCATGAGCCATGTCATGGATAATAAGGATTGTTGCCAAGTGTGTTGCACTCCAGCAATCCCTGGCCAATGACATGGCTCCTGTATGGTT